ACCATGTAAGGATTTGTTGAAAAAATTGGTTGTTTAGTTTGGAGAAGCATTGGGGGTATTATTGCTTCTTCAGATATGTGAAGTGGTCTCATGTACATAATGGATTAGATTTGATTTACTTGATCTTAAGGAGCAAAACTATGGACAGAGGATGAATGTTGCTGTCATAGCCTTCAAGAACCCAGGGTCATGTTGATACTTCAACATGGCATCTGAGAAGAACTCTAGTGGTAGCTATTGAGGAAAATGTGCCTATAGTCTGTTATCATTCTTATAGATGAACAAATTGCCTACTTGTCAGTAGAGACTCTGGCACTAAGATATTTAAGGATTCAAGTCCTTTTGCATTTCAGAGGTTGAAAGATATTAAAGCTTTTCTTTATGGACTGCTATTCTTAATTCTACTGACCCTTCCCATTATCTTCCCAAGCCCTTGTTCTATACTTCTTATGGTCAGAACAGAAACCACCCACACCAGTTGGAAATGTTGTTTAATTAACATTTGAATGGAGGATGGGTCCATATGAATAACTCCTGAATGAACATATTTAACCCATGCCATCATGCTTTGCTTTTTATTGCATACTGACATTGGCACTCAGCTTGGAGTCAGAAGAAAGGAGCTCAATGCCCTGGCCCTGACATTTCTTAACTTTTTGATCATTAACAAGTAACTTAACTCTGAATTTCAGTTTCCTCATTCATAAAATATGGATAGTAATACCTATGCTACCCATCTCATAAGTTTTCTGTGAGGAAAGATTTTTTAAAACTTTTTAGCATAGTGGACTAATGGATAGGTACTGGATGTTTTTATTTCATTGGTACATGGAACACAAAAGTGAGGAAACTCAGTCTTTAAGAGTTGCATCAAACACAGATGTAAAGCCCATAGCCTAGTGTGGCCCAAGTCAATTTAAAATGTATTTGGGAAATGTTTTAAAAAATAAATAAAAATATAGTACAACATGGAAGATGTTGATTTGTAGTTTTCTAAGTCAACATGGGGCCTGGAGAGATTGTTGGCCTAGGACAATTAGAGATTCAGTGACATGCCCAAAGTCACACTGTCTTTATGTGTCAGAGTTTGAGCCATACAAATATTCCAAAAGAAAACAACTTAAGGGTTGATAGCTAATGATTTTCTGAGCTCATCTATAATTTTACTGGAAAAAGTCATCAGAAAGTGTCAGCCATGCATGTTTCCCCTGTTCATCAGTAAAACTTGGTACCACTCAAATGCATTTATTTCATCATCCCCAGCCACTCGTGATCATGGCTTATTCTTTATCTTCTTTTCATCTTACACAAATGAATACACATGCCACTAACAGTCAACTCATCTAGTACAATGCACTAAACACAGGAGGAGCTTAATAAACTTTTGTGAATACATAAATGTGATGTAAAAGAATTTCTTGGTTTTGATTAGATTGAAGTTTTGTATATTAAGTTTTGTTTGTACTTTAAAAACTATTCTAACACTCTGGGCCCAGAAAAGTAGATTTGAAATGCCACTCAGAGGTTCTTCTTCAGATGTGTTAAATGAAAGACAAGAGCAATTTGAATTGATAAACATCTTGTCAAGCAAAAAGTTCTTCTTGAAATACATAGATTATTTGGGGGCAGGGACTAATCTGCTTATCCGATTCAAGGACAGAATAACTTTTTTAAAAAGCTATGCTTGCCTAGAAGGCAAATCATTTCAGAACTGCAAATTCATGTGAATGCACATTTTAAAAATGATAGAAATGAATTAACTTTCTAAAAATTGTTTTTCTATAGAATTAGGATTAGATTTAATTCTACCTCACAGCATTATTTTGAGGCTCAAATCCCACAATTATTATTATTATTATCAACAACAGCAATATTTAGCATTTATATAATACTTTAAGGTTTGCAAAGGGTTTTATTAATGTTATCTGATTTCATCCTTACAACAACCCTGGGGAACAATAGTGGTACCCATTATAATATTATTATTTGACACATTTTACAGATGAGGATACTGAAGCACACAGAAGTCCTGACTTGCTTAGGGTCACACAACTAGTAAGTGTGTAAGATTTGATTTGACTGAGGTCTTCCTGACTCCAGATTCTATGCTCTATCCACTGCCATCTACCTGCCTGTGTCAAGTATTTTGCAAAAATCAAAATCCTGTATAAACATCAGATATTAGGATTACGAGTCTTTCCCCATTTCTACTTCTTGTGTTTAAATCAACTATTCTTAGTCTTGACCTTGGACCGTAAGCCCAAATGCCAATTAGTTAAAATAATTTGAGTAAATTTAAGGACAATATTCTAGTTCTCCTTCTCAAGGCATAACTTTTTTTTAAAAAGTGAAAATTATTCCAAGAATAGGGCGCTACTTGGCAAACAACTCATCACTGTCAGAATGCCTGTCATTTGTGTTAACGGGCCATTCTTTACCCAGCTCGAATTTCTTTGATGGAAAGGTTAATGTTTAGACTATTAATGTTCTCATTTCCAAACATAAAACCTACAAGACTCTTAACTCTTAGGTTCACATAGAATATTCTAGGAAAAGATCCACGAAGCCATATGTAACCTTAAATGTGTCTTCTTATAATGAATCTGTAACATCATATAATTATTCTTTGTAGATGCCTCCTGTTGTAATGAATCCAATTTTTCCCATGAATCACTAGTAGAATATATTCCTAGCAGTGAACACAGTAATTTACCAGTTTTTTTTCAGATTCTTCTGCAAACTGAAAATGCCCCATCATTTACCTTTTCCACTTACCTTTTCTTTTCCTTTCCCTACATACCTGACTTCAAGATATGCATAGTCTGGTGCTTAAAGTGAGTTGAGATTTGAACAAAGTAATCCTCTGTTCTTGGAACTGAATGTTCAATTTTTTACCCCTTAAAGGTGGGATTTTTGACCAAGACTTTGACCTTACATTGCCCTTAGCCTAGCACTTCCTACCGCAACCACTGCCTCCTCTTTTTCTCCAAGGACTGGGAGGGACCATTTTGATACAGGTGGTTCAATGATATGAGTTCAAATGTCAGTCAATGACGGGGATAGGGAGGGAAGGAAGCTTAGTTCCTTCTTCCCTGCCTTCAGTTTAACACATAAACAATTTTTAATAGAGAAACAACTTGCTGCATGGGATTTTTCATAATATGGAATCACTTTATTTCATAGAGTTGTTTTTAGTATCTGTGTATGTCATAAGAGTCTTAATGGTGAGAATAGCTATCTAATTCACCACATACTAGAAATGTGACCTTCTCTAACACCATTGGTCATCTAACCTACTTTTGGGAGTGCTTGAGTGATGTAGAACTTAAATAACTTTCAGCAACTGCCCATTCTACTTTGGGAATTTTCAGGAAGCTTTTCCTTATTTTAATCTGAAATCTGCCTCTATCTAACTTTTATTCTCTAGTCCTGGTTATGCCCTGAAGGGCTCAACAGGACAGGTATAATACCTCTTGCATGGCAGCATTTCAAATCTTACTAAGTCTCCTCTTCATTTGGCTCCTGTTTTTTTTTTCAACCAGTCTGTTTAGGTCCCCTCACCATCCCAGTCAAGGAGCTAGGTGGTGCAGTGGTTTGAGTGCCAGGTGTGAAGTCAGGAAGACTAATCTTCCTTAGTCCAAATCTGGCCTCAGGCACTTACTAACTTGGGCAAGTCACTTAATGCTGCTTGCCTCAGTTTCCTCATTTGCAAAATGAACTGGAGAAGGAAATGGCAGACCATTCCAGTATCTTTGCCAAAAATAACCCAAATGGGGTCATGAAGAGTTGGGCGTGACTGAAACACAAAAACAAAACCATCCCATTCATCTTATAATAGGACTTTTTTTTGGTGAGGGGGGTGATTTTTCTTAGCAAATCAAAAAGAAATAAACCACCTAAGCATAAGTATATAGTAGTTCTGATTTACATTTTTTAAAAAGTACCTGTGTTGTTGAAATAAAACTCTTAAAATATTGAAGTATTAACTAAATAATAAAATTTGAAAAATTAAATATTGAAGTATCCTTGCTCAGTAAAAACAAATCTTTAGGTTAAATACCCCAGGTGTAGTTCTGTAGCATTTGCAAATATCTTGGCAAAAGACCTTATTGTTTCAAGATAGAAGAGGCACAAAGTAGAGCTAGTGATGTGTCCATCCCATGTGACTCCCACTCAGGTCTTCCCCAAGTTCTAGGTAAAATTCACAAAGTAATATTCAAGTACAAATGGGAGGACATGAGGTCATACAAGGAAATGACCCAACTGATCAGTCTGCTACTTTGCAAAGCAGGCAACTAAATTGGATCCTGAAGACATTATGAAATTATATGACTAGTAACCGAGGCAGAACCAAATGTCACATGATAACTTTAGGGTGGGGATGGGGGTCAGAAACAAACCTTCATCCATTATCAGCTTTTCTCATTCTGCATTTTAAAAAGAGAAATAGGTAAAATGAATCAAAAGTTTAATGCTTGCAAAACTATGATTTAGTGACGTTCCTTGTAACTAAATTATATTTTTGTATCATTTAAATTTCTATTAAAGAAAGAAAGGATTTCTGATATATGTGTGGATTTTCAAGAATTTATATTTCTCACCACAACTATTTAATGAGTATTTCTTCATCTCCTTAATTTTAGGACCTAAAGCAATAGTTGCAACATAGTTTTGGTGCATTCTTTAGCTACAAATCATTAGGTTTGTTAAATAAAGTCATTCTTAGGAGCTATGTTTTAACTATATGATGAGAAGAACGTGTTTTCTTGTGCATCCAGTGGTGGATTTTTTTTTCCATCTACAAAATGTATATGAAGATTTGACAACATTTTAAATTTGTCTTCTATCTGACTGATTAAATGCATGGCAATTTTGACACTTTATGTAAATATATATATATATATAATGTATTTTTTTTAAGAAAGCCACCTTATGATATCTAAATAGTATGATATTCTAGCCTATATTTATACTTTATCACCCCTTCTTTTTTTTTTCAGGTAAATACCAGCTGTCTCCAACAGTGAACATGCCCCAAGATGACACTGTTATCATAGAAGATGACAGACTGCCAGTATTCCCTCCTCATCTTTCGGACCAATCATCCTCTAGCTCCCATGATGATGTGGGATTTGCGATAACAGATGCTGGAGCATGGGCTAAAGCCACAATTAGTGATTCAGCAGACTGGTAAGATCACAGTTCCAGGCTTGAAAACAATGGCTAATTGCAATTACGTTTTCTTGTACTTTTTAAATGGTTGATCACAGTGCATATTTAATCACAGAATTTTTTTTTAAAGCAGTATTCAGCCTTCACTATTTTCACACCCTTAATTATCACCCTTTTAATAAAAGAAACTTTTCATGTAAACTTATTGATTTTTATTAGCCTTTCAGCGGGTATTCTAAACAATTTAAGGGGAAAATTCATTTGTTTTTATGGTTTGCCAATGGCTGTTAACTACTAACTATCATATGCAGCTTTGCTAATTTCATTAAGCATTTTAAAATGTAATTTAGCCACATAAGCCTTCTTCTCTACCCTCCCTGCCTTGACTCTCAAGATCTTTTGAGTGAAGATATGATGATATTATGGATAAACTTAATATTCCTGATACTTAAGCTTTGGAAAAATGTTGTTTTGTAGGTTGATTTGATTCTGCTGTTCATGTTTATTATTTATGCCAAATCAATTGATTCTTTGGGCAGGCAGTGTTTTATTAATATGTTTTCTTTTGTCTGTGAAAAGAAAATAGGGCTTGATGTTATTGAGCAGATTTGTAGCGTTTGAATGTGGAATTGTACACTACTTTGCAAGTTTAGTAATTATATACATCAATAAGCAAAATAAAAGGTCCATTTGAGCCCCCCCCAGGTTGTAATGATAATTAACACCAACAGTATGAGCTATTATAGGGGAATTTTCTCATTGCCCTGTCTCTAGGGTCTTTTAGGAGTACATCAGCAAAACCTTATTTAGATGGTGGTAGCATCATTCCTTTTATTTGTCCCAATCTGCCATTTCTTTAAAAAAAAATCCTTCTCTTTCTAACTCTCCCTTTTTTCTCTTTCCCCCTGCCTCTCCTACTTCCTCTCCCCCTCATCTCTCACCCCTCCTCTTTGTGTTTGTTAGTAATCCAAACTTGATGTATAAGGAATTGATGTTACTGGTTCTGAACATTATTTTCATGAGCTTAAAAAGTACATTTGTCTCCTTCTACTTGTTTCTCTGTTAATGCTGCAGCTGTTCTTGGAATAATTTTTCCTGTTATTTGGGTCTTTGAAAACTCCATCTGTAGCTTTAAGAAATGGGGATGGGGGAAGGACACAAGTGAAGTTCTCCAGTAGAAAATATGAGAATTTTCAGATCAAACCACACTCAAGACTGGATGATAATAGCTTATCTCTGAATGAATTTTTCACTTGGCTGTAGTGGGAAAAGCCACTGTACAAAATAAAACATATTTGAAATCTGCAAATGCTGTTACATTTACTGGTGTAGTTCATATGTTTTTCAGAAAACAAAAGCAACAGCAATGATTACAGGGCTTAAGTATTCCCAGTATTCATCTTGAGGGGCAGACTGTTGCAATCTCCACCTTTACATGGAATTATTGAGGTCTTTTGGTAAAGCGTTAGCCTTAGGAGCAGCTTACTTTAGTGCCTCTGATGTACTGCCTGGAAAAATAAATAAACAAATCTCAGAAATAGATTGTTGCATTCATTTCCTGCTGCTGATGGAGGGAGAGAGTCTTGGAAAATGGAGGCGCCTTGTGTGATTTTTTTTTTTCTAGAAGGAGCATAGGGTAATGTTAAGAATATGGACGAAGGGTTATACAAACAATAATGGCAGCTGTTCTGAATCACAGTAGAAAATGTAAGCTTTCCAACCTGACAGTATCTCTCTAATCCTTGATGAAAATGTTATGAAAACAAAAGGGCAATAAGACAGGATTAATAACTGGAATTTTAATAACATTGAGGGTCAAAATACGGTTACATTCTTTAAAGAGTCCATTGTTGTTCTAGCAGTCTTGCTTGTTAAGCATGTTGATGTATCGCCCACTGCATACATTAATTTAATGGGTTATATTGATAGGAGCCCAACAATAATGATGCAGTTTAAAGACCTTCCCTTTTTAGTTATTTTTAGTAACACATCTAAGCTCATTCGATTTTTTTAAACTGAGTATTTCTGTGATTCACTTGCAAATTGTAGAAGGCTGGATGTGTCAAATGGATATGTACAATTAAAAGTTTTAGTCTACTGATGTGCAAAGTATGCTTTTCTCAACCCATTAATTAATTTATAGCACATTAACGATAATGTTGCTGATAAAAATGATGGCATAACATGTGCCTCTTATCTTAGTGACAACATAATTTCCAAGGAAATAAAAATGATGTAAAATTATACAAACAAGTCACTAATTTTTAGAGCTCTACTCTCACATCAACAGTTATCTTCTACTCCCTTTTAGATTTTCAAGTTCTACACAGTTCAGAGAAAAGACTGAGGATAAGAAACACATGCCAAAAGGTGGATGAGCTCAGCAAAATGAGCAAAGATGTTCTATATTCATACTAGTCACCATCATCAGCAACATGCCACTCAGGGTTTTCTCTTGAAAACATAGAGTTTATAGTCTGGCTGTCATTCCTGGGTGACAACGTTATTAAGAATTATTCTGTACCCGTGGAGCATCTGACTCCACAAGGAACTCAAGGGTTCTTAGCACATTTTGAGAATTGATGCTTGTGTTCATATGTTATGTATTGTTTTAGGAATTTAAGATATCTGGTAATTCCACCCCACTGATGCTCAGGCACACTGAAGGCAGTCACTGATTTATGTCTTTTCAGGCAAATATCTGATTGACTTTTGAGCACAATAAAAGCAATATCAAATTTGGTAAAACCAGGCCAGGATTTGAGACCTTTACATGGTGCACATTTTATTTCCCATGAGGCCCTGAAAAATTAGAGAAGTTTAATTTAGTTTTTATAAAAGAATTGTATTCTATAAAATGGAATTCTTAAGAAAGTCCAATGAATCTCGTCATGGCACTTCTTTGCTCAAAAATCTTCAGGGGCTGCTATGGAATCAAGTGCAAATGCCATTGTCTAGCCTTCAGTCGCATACCATCCTTACTTTTCAACCTCACATTACCCTTACTCTGTGCTCTGGCCAACCTGGACTAATTTTCGTCCCCTAAAGAAACGCGCCACATACTTTCCTACTTATTGGCCTTTACTCACATTTTTTTTTATTATTCCTAGAATATCTTCTCTCCCTTCTTCCTCTGTTGCATCCCTACCTATCTTATAGCCTACACTCTCCTACCTTCATGCATCTTCGGCTTCCTTAAGAATGGTTTTCCCCTGGGTCCTTACATGGCACTTTGTCAAGTACTTGGCAATCGGGGTTAAGTGACTTGCCCAGGGTCACACAGCTAGTAAGTGTCAAGTGTTTTGTCTGAGGCCAGATCTGAGCTCAAGTCCTCCTGACTCCAAGGCCAGAGCTTTATCCACTGTGCCACCTAACTGCCCCACAGGAAAGATCTCTTGAAGGAGGCACTCAAATCGAGAGCCTCAAATGAAGCCAAATAGTATTAAAGACTGAAGTGTTTAATTTGGACTAGGCTTGTTTCAGCTAATAGACATGTGTTTAACTTGTCTGGGACATTTTCTGAAGAACCATTTTTTATATGTGTTTGCTCCCCCAGTTCTTTGAGTCCAGATGCCGATCCTGTTCTTGCTTTTCAACGAGAAGGATTTGGACGCCAGAGTATGTCAGAAAAACGCACAAAACAATTTTCAGATGCCAGTCAATTGGATTTCGTTAAAACACGAAAATCAAAAAGCATGGATTTAGGTAGTGAGTACAATCTCCATGAATCTCTATCTGAATGCGGTTTAGATGCTATCAAGATAAAAAGTCTTGTGCCAAGCACATATATGTGTCTATTTACTTTGGGAGGGGGAGAGGGAATGATTTGGCACAAATTCGTATTTCTGTGAGTTTACGATAACCATATTACTCACAAGTGGCATATTTACATAACAGGCAATATGCTAACGTATATATGTTTGCTTATGGGAAAAGAAACAAACACATGTGCATTCATGCTATCTTCATGTATTTTTTGGGGGAAATGAATTTAGAATGAACTCAACAGCGATTCAACTGTTTAAAAAAAAGTTTGTTGATGGATGATATGGTTGGAAACAGGGGAGGTGAGGCTTAAAAGTTACGAGAAAAAAGGATTTGGAGAGAAACCATTATCTCAATCCATGTCTAGAAATTGGTTACTTTATGATATCGTCTTCTCATTGCTATTCTTGAAGCTTAGTTTTATAGAAGTTCATGCACTGATAATCAAGGGATGTAACTAAAGCTAAAGTAATGGTTTGAGAGTATAGCTAGGAGAAATTCTTTGAAAGCAATTGAGAGGAGGTGAAAAAAAACCCGTAATTGTTTAATCGTCTATCAATCAGGTAGCATCTCTTCAAAATCTGAACCCTCTAAAATAGAGTGGAATAATCTCAGTGATAATCTATCTACATACTCCTTGGGTGATTTAAAAAACCTTTGTTAATCAGTTGTATCTTGTGAATGCTGTTCTTTGGTGGCTGTATATCCTTCAAAACTAAAAGCATTAATTTATCACATGCGTACCAAAAGTAAAATCTGGCGATGACTTGCCTTGGCTAATTATGATATGCTAACATGTAAATAACATATGTGCCTGTGATATGAAATGACTAACAAGTTGTTTGGTGAGCTGCTTTTTGGATTTAAGGTTATTTGCTTGATGTTAAGTAATTGCATGAAATGTGACCTAAGACATGCCACCTAACTGAGACCATTGGAATGGTTGAAGCATGTGGATGTGGGCACTAACTGGGCTAACCATTATACATTTACCTTTTAACAGTAGCTGACGAGACTAAACTCAATACTGTGGATGACCAGAAAACAGGTAAGAATGGACAGTAAGGCTGTTGCCATAGAAACCTTGGTCCAAGACACCACAATTATAGAACTGCCCATCAAATTGCATGAAAACATGCCTATTCCAATACTTGCATGACTGTTTTTACTTTAAGTAATGAAGTTATATGGAAAAAAAAAGAATTCACTATTAGGAAAGATGATTCAAGATAGCATGCTTAAAATGATAACATAATAACATGCCTAAAAAGATATGTGAATAACCTAATATACAAACATATAGGATCGCTACTTAGCAGTAAGTTAAATATATTAAATATCAGAATGTTGAATTCCTCAGCTAGTTCTTGATAAGGCTACATTTTTTTTGAATGATTACCATTTCATCGAACATGATCTAGGTGAAGTTTAACATGAATGGTTTTTTAAGTGATCTTTTCTTGTTAGAAAATCCCCAATGAATGGATTGTCAAGTGTTCTTTTGACTACCAATGCAAAAAATTAAATAACTCAGACAAAAGAAGTAACAGCTCAAGGTCTATCTAAAATGGGTTAGGACATATCATAAATACATACATAATTTTTTGTACCTGTATTAAAAACATTATTATCCGGGGTTTTTCTTTCATGTGCTACATAAATCATTCCATTGAAACAATAGGATTTATTCAAATGGTTTATTTGGTATAGTGTATAAAATGACTGATTTAATTTACATTATTCTTATATTTAACATATTATTCTTATCCAGAGGATTTTGTTTATAAGTAATTATAGTAATGTATTTCTAACAATTAAACCTTTAAGATGTATTCATGCAAGTTGGCTTTCACCCTCTGGATTGCCATTTTAATTATTCTAAATCTAATACACACATGAGGTTATATTACTTAGCACTAATTAAGTGTGATTCACCCCTTCAAGCTGAGGTAACTAGTTTTTAGCATGCTCCTAAATTTGAAATCTCATATACACATGTAAAAATTATTACAGAAATGCCTCTGGGTTATAATCTTTTATAGAGTGAGTGATAGATTACATGAAAATTACTTCCAATGAGTCATAAGATCAACTTTTGTGTAAGGCAATTCCCTCCTGCTCTCAGCCCTGGCTAATGAGTTACCAACTTATTAGACATAAATTTCAAATGACCT